GAGGCGGGCCAGAGGGTCCGAGGTGGGTGGGGTCAAAATTGGGGCGGGCTCAGGGTTAGAATTTTTGTGAGTCAGCTCAAAAGGGTTGAATTAGATGGAGCGGGGCCGGTGGTTCCGAAGTGGGCGGGAGTCGAATTCCCAAGTGGAGGCAGGTTCTCCAGTGGTGATGCTTATTTTGGAGGCGGAGCCTGGGCTCTCGGTGGGCAGGATTAGAAAGTGGTGAAGTAGCAGCCTTCCCAGGGCACCTGCAAAGATTGCTTTCCATATGTTTAGGCTTTCTTTGCTCAGAGCTCCAGGCTGCCCGCCTCTTGCGCTTGCAACCCTCTCTGGGCTGCAGTCCTGTACTACGCCTTGTGAAAGGAACAAAGGAAGGAGCTGACATGGTCCAGGAACTGGTCCTTACCCTCCAAGCCCTGGGACTACCCAGACCTCTGCTGGGGACCCCTGCCAGCCAGCTACTGCGGGAATTACACGCCAAGGTAGCCAGTTCCCTCACTACTCCACTTTGCTTGGGAAGAAGATGCTTTCTCCAGAAGCTGCTGTAGCAGGAGTGCCCAGCCGCCAGGGTGTTTTTTTGTTATTGTTTTGTTTGTTTGTTTGTTTTGTTTTAGCTGCGGCTACCATTCTTATTTTTGTGGCCTGTGTCCTCAGGGGTGAGGGGAACTGGGACCCATGAAGCTTTCTATCCTGCTTCTGCCTCACTTGACCTCTGACTTCTCCCATCAGATCTCTGAGCTGCTGCCTTCCCTGCCCGCAGGGTCCATGCAGCCCCTCCTCAGCTACCCACTGGATACACCCCGATGGGTAAGATTGTATATGGCTGTATGTGAACACTGTTCTGGTCCAGAGAAGGGGGTGAGAGGTACCCTTGGCCTGACTGAGTCCTTTTTTGCCAGCAAGCCCTGGAGTCTCTGTCCCAAAGCCTGAAAGATCAGTACTGCTGCCGCCGCTGCCTTCTGCTCAAGCGCCTGGACCTGACAACGTCTGCTTTCCACTGGACTGATCGGGCAGAGGTGCGAGCAGAGGACCTTGGCAGGAGCAGGAAGGCCCAGCTGTGGGGGCCACAGCTGCAAGGAGGAGGAATGAGGGCCAGGAATATTACCTCTTCGAGGCTCTGAGGCACAGGCCATTTTAGACACTTGTAAGGTTTATGGCTTCTGTAATCTCAAGGCCTCTAAGAAATTCTAGCTCTGAGCTGGGAGTGCCGTTAGTACTCGCCATACCCCTTTGGAGCAATGTGGGCAGTAAGGCTATCTTAGCCATGACAAAATATCTGAGACTGGATACTTTATAAGGAAAAGAGGTTTACCTTGGCTTATCAGTTTGGAGAGTGAAAAGTCCAAGCTCAGGCACCCTGATCTGGTGAGGGTCTCATGATGTGTCACAACACAGTGAATGACGTCACAGTAAGCATATGTGTAAGAGTAGTTAATGCGGAAGTAACACCTGGTTCTCTTAGTAGCTAGTCCAGGCCAGTAAGACCTAACCCACTCTGGCTATAATGGCATTAATCCCTTCCAGAGGTGACACATTCATGACCTAATTAGCTCCCCCGCTTAAAGGTTCCACCAGTTCTCAATGCCATTATGCTGGGGACCAAGCTTCTAGCACACGACCCTTTGGAGAACGAATCACGTCCAAAGCATACAGTGGGGAAGATGATAGGTCCCAGCTGGGGAGGGCTCTTGTGTCTTCTCTATGTGCCCTTCTCCCAGGCCCAGGGAAAGGCCATGAAAGCAGTGCTGCGCCCACTTCGAGAGGTCCTTACCCCAGAATCTGATGTCTCCATTGCACATGTTCTGGCTGCCCGAGCTGACCTTTCTCGCCTGGTTCCGGCCGCCAGTGTGGCAGCCCGCCGAGGGACCTGCTGTGCCATCAACAAGGTGGGCACTAGGGGCGGGGAAGGGCCTGGTCTTCATATTGGTCTTAAGCCACGCTTGTCCTTTCCTCTCCTGATTCCTGCTCCCATGTTCTCCCTGCTTCCTGGCCTCTGGACTCACCACCCATAGTCTACCCACTTCATAAGACAGCTAGAAGGAACTTTCAAACAGTTCCCTAGTTCCACACCCTTCTGTGGCTCCCCAGTGCTTTGAAAGCAAAGAACAGCTGTATGGGTCATCACCCACCTCTCCAGCTTGGGTTTTAACTCCTTCCCCATCACCTCACCCTGACTGCTGTATTGCTTCTTAACCATGCTTTAAAATGGAAATACCGTGTGTTTTAATAAGTATTTAGTCTCATACCTCTGCCTAAGCAGTCTTAAACTTGTGCACAAATGGATGGGTACTTAGGAAAAGAATACTAGTTTGCTATAAATGTTATACAAAGCCCACAATTTCGCCATCACCCCCCCTTCATTTCCCTCCTGCTGAGGCCCTTGAAGTCCCACCTGAAAGTTCCATTTGTGTACCTTCCGCCAGTCCCACCGCGGTGCACACATGGTCAACATTTGCCTTTCCTTCTTCAGCCTCAGGCTGTTCCCTTTGCTCTCTGGCCCCTTTACCAAAGGTATATTTCTTTGTGAAGCTCAAGTCTAATCAACCTTCAGGTACTTATGGGAGACGTGCCAGACCGAGGGGGCCGCCCAAGCGAGTTGGAGGCGCCCATGCCCACCTGGCGGAGCCGGAGAGAAGATGGAGGAGGGTGGAAGGCAGGCCACCAGCACTGGGGCCAGAAGAAGAAGAAAAAGAAGAAGTAAAAGTAGAGGAGGGTGAGGGCATCCATCATGAGATGCCGATGCCATTGGTAATCTGACGAGTCAGTTTGAAGGTTTCCCTTGGCACCTGGCACCCAAGCCCCTCTCCTCTATTCCAGATGTCGTGTATCCACCCACTACTCAACACTGGAACCGTGTTCTCTGGAAAATAAATTTAATTTTCGATGGCAATAGTGGCCTGTCCCTGTGGGAGCCAGGTCGGAGAGGCATGGGTTTGTGGAAGGGAGGGGAGGGAGTCTCTGCCCTGGGTCTGGTCAGGTCCCTGCCCCACTGACTCTACAAAGTCTTTTGTTCTTCAGCAACACGTCTGTGTGTGAGTATTGGGAAGGACATATTCAGATGTGGGACAGGACTTAGCACGTTTCCACCCTGGGCCATCCCTGCTTTAGGCATTGGAGATACAGCAGTGGAAGACACAGATAAAAGTCCCCCACACACTTGGAGCTGATATTTCTGGTAAGGAGGGGCAGACACCAAACAAGAAACAGGTGAGATATATAGTTTGAGGAGAAAAAGCACTGAAAAAAATAAAACAGGAAGGCAGGATTGGCAGTGGGGGGACCATGTCTTTGAATGTGGTCAGGAAGGCCTCACCAAGAGGATATCACTAGAACAAAGTGCCAGCAGGGAGCCCAGGGGCCTCATGGGAAGAGCATTCTAGCAGCGGGAACCACCAGTGCAAAGGTCCTGAGGTAGGATTATTTGGGGCATGTTCAAGGAACACAGGCCAATGGGGCTGAAGTAGGGTGAATGAGGGGGTGAGGGGTAGGAGGCAAGGTCAGAGATGATGAGGGTAGATAGTGTGGAGCCTTCGGGCCACAGGACTGGCTTTGCCCGAGTGAGAGGAGCCATTGGAGGGCTCTGAGCAGAGTTTGGATGGGACCTGATTCATGCTTAGAGACGGCTCCAGGCCCTTTCCAGCCTTCTCTGCTGTCTCAGCAAACCCAGTGTTCAGAACTCTGCCCACTCCAGCCCTGCCCCTTCTGACCCTCACCGGAGTCCATGCAGCACCTTGGCCTAGAGTTTCAAGTTTAGATGACCAGGATTTTTTGTTGGTTTGGTTTGGTTGCGGTTGTGTTTTTTTGAGACAGGGTCTCGCTATGTAGTTCAAGCTGGCCTTGAACTCATTGTGTAGCGCAGGCTGACCTCAAACTTGTGGTGACTCTCCTGCCTCGGCCTCTTGAATGCTGGATTACAGGTGTGCACCACTATACCCAGTGAGGACCGGGGTTTGAGTTCTGCTTCTCACCCTCAGGGCTCTGCCACTTTGGGCCAGTAGTTTAACCTCACCGTGCCTCTGTCTCCTCATCTGTGCAGTAGAGATTTAGGGAGTTGCTGAGATGATGCCTAAGTCTGCACATATCCAAAATGGAGCTACCAGATGCTAAGTATGGAAAATGGGAGTTCGTGTAGTAGCCACCATGATGCAAAAGAAGAAAACATTTGCAGAGTAAGACGATGATCACTTCATCAAAGGCAGTGTGGGTGTAGATATGGGTAGAGGGGAGGAGCCCAAGATGATGTCTAGGATTCCGGCTTGGAGGATGAGGTTCACGGTGGGATGGTCACCGGGCGGGGTCCTGGAAGGAGGAGGACAGGTGATGAAGGGTGAGAGATGACTCGGGGATAGTTACTGCCAGGAGTGGTACCTCACCCGGAGAGTGGCTGAGTGGGTGAAAGCATGTCACCTGTGGACTGGGTGTGTCTGTGTGCTTCACTTTTTTTCCCCACTGTGTAGCTCAGGCTGGCCTTTTAAAGTTGTGTTCCTTGTACCTCATCCTCCCAGGTGCTGGACTTACAGGTGTGGACCACCATGTCTAGCTTTTTTGTTGTTTTTTGAGACAGGGTCTCACTACGTAGTTGAGACTGACCTGGAACTCACTGTGTAGCCCAGGCTGGTCTCAAACTCACAGCGATCCTCCTGCCTCAGCCTCCCAGAGTGCTGGAATTACAGGCGTGAGCCACCACACCCAGCTAGTTTTTTTTTTTTTTTTTTTTTTTTAAACCAAATCTGAGAGTCTCTGCCTTTGAAGAGACCAATATTTATTGTAGGTCCTGATATAATTGGCCTTATTCTTGCCATCTGTCTGGTGTCCCCCTAAATCCTTTCCTGTTCTAGGGGTTACTCCTCCCCTCACATATTGAAACTTCTATTTTCCCATCAACATTAAAAGTTGGCCCATATCTATACTTTACAACCAAAGTAATTGAGGACTTTTACATGTTTTTACTTTGCTGTGATTCCCCAAATTTGTCTGGTTTCCATTTGGGAGTAGAGGGCAGTCCCAGCTCACCGTCTCTGGTTCTCAGGAAGGGTGTGGGGGCTCTGTCTGAGTCCAAGGAGGGCGAAGGTAGCACCTAGTCTCGGGTTCCAGGGACAGCGTGTAGGAGAGATTGTCCTCGGAGCCTGTTTGTAGAACGGTGGGTGGAAGGGATGTATGCATGAGGGGAGGGTGTCAGAAATAATCCCCATCCTCTGGCCCCTTCCCAGCACTGCTGGGCTCTGGCTCACCACAGCTGGTAGGGGGCGCTTGTGGTGGGGGGCTGGGGGTCTCCGAGGGCCCCGCATCGCCCTTGGCCCCTGGCCTCTTCTTACACTCTGCCTTCACTTGGTCCCTACAGTTCCGGTGGCAACACAGCCCACAGTCTGGGGGAAGAGAGGGGTTAGTACCCTCCAACCTTCAGCCTTCAGGTCCCCGAGCCCCTCTCACTCCAGGACACCCCGCTTACCCTGACAGCGGTAGCCATGCTTGCTGACACCCCAGAGCTGGGAAGAGAAAGCAGAAGCTTGAGGCTTGAGGGAGCGCTGTGCTCTGGGCTGGGCTGGGTGGGGGGGCAAAAGTATGGAAGCTGCCGAGCTTTTAAAATTTACAAGAATTTGATGATTTGACTTGAATGAAAGAAACTTAGAGATTACCTCGAGTTTGGGGAATCATGCAGGCTATTAGAATTTGTCAATTTGGGAGTTAACCAAATGCACGTTCTGTGCTCAGGGACTGTGTTTATTCCTCCTGTGGCGTCCACATGGGAGGTGCTCAGTCCAGACTCAGTGGTGAAGAATAAATGCGGGAAATAATCTGAGGTTTGTGCTCTGGTCTCTTTGGAGACTGGGAAACCCGTCCACAGTCCAGTTAGAGGATGCCTTGGTTTTGGTAATGTAAAGGCTTTGGATGATTTGGAGTCTAGAAATTTGGAGAAGGATTCTCTGTGGACACAGTCTACTCAGGTGTGCAGATGACACAGCATTTTGGAGATTACCCAGGGATTTTTAGGTATTATATATGGCTTGGCATTTGTCCAAGGTGGAGACTACTAGAAGGTAGAGATTATCCAGGTAGGAGGAATGTCCGGTGTTTAGGGTTTGTATGAAATGTACAGATTATTTGAGTGGGAGGGTGTTTCTGGAATTGGAGCTGGCCACTGTGAGGAGTTGGGATGTTTCAGGGGAGATGGGCTTGGAAGGCGCTAACAGGGCAGGGCGCTCACGAAGCCGCTGCAGCTGTGACAGAAGGCGGGCTTGCGGAAGGTGGCCTCCTGGAAAGTGTGCAAGAAGGCCGGGTCCAGCTTGGAGCAGATGACGGTGGCGCGGAGCAGGTACTCGGTCAGCTCCTCTCGGCTGAAGGAGCCACTCCTGTGGGTGGAGACCGCGCCTCAACAGGACTGGCACCTTCCTCCCGGCAGCCCCAGGGTCCTCATCTTAGGGGGAAGCAGGCGACAGGGCCACTTACTCCGGGCGAGGGGGTGGGTGAAGCCCACAGCAAGCAAAGGGGAAGTTGCCGGAGAGGCGTTCAAAGTCCTCCTGAGAGATGGTGCCACGGCCTTCAGGGTCATAGTTCTTGAACACGGACTTGAGAGGAGCAGGGAGGGGAGGGTGAGATCCAGTGCCCAGGCCCGTCCCCACAGCCCAGGTGCCCTCTGCCTCTCCAAAGCCACGCAGAAGGCTGCCTCCTTGCCCCCTCCCAGCCACAGTCCTCCTACCTCCACCAGCTGCTCCACGTGCCGCTCCAGGGTGACCCTGTCAGGCCTGGGCGTCACACCAGGTGCCCACTCCACCACCAGAAGCCCTCTAAAGGGGGGAGGCGGCTGGAGTAAGGACAGAGGGGCTTAGTTTGTGCTCAGGCTTGAGCAGGAGAATTAGAGATCAGGGGTCTGTCTCACCATACTCTTGGGACAGCGGGGCTCACGGGTGTAGGAAAGCTCGTAGATCTTGTCCTCCGTGTAGAAAAGATCCAGGGAGAGCTGGGGGTGGGCAGGTGTTACAGACCCTCCTGTGGCTATCTTGGACCCTGATGTGGTGCTGGGGATTGAGCCCAGAGCCTCTGCACTAAGCTATATCCCCACCCCTCTCGCCTCCCTTTTGCTTTTTTGAGACAGGGTCTTCCTATGTCACTAAACTGTCCAGATTGGGCTCGAACTCAGGACCCTCCTGACTTGGCCTCCCAGAGCACGGGGTTACTGGTATGTGCCACTCAGCCCAGTGCAATAGCCCCATATGCCCTTTCATCCTCTTTCCAAAAACTCCTCCAGAGACCCCTTAGGCTTTCTGTCCCCCACACTCCAGCCACACTCCACACTGCCCCTGCTTTATCCTAGTCTACAAAGGTGTCATTCTCACTGAGGCTTTTTTTTTTTTTTTTGGTACTGGGGATTGAACTTGGGTCCTTGCGCTTGCAAGGCAGGCCACAGAACCGCTGAGCTAAATCCCCAGCCCTCACTGAGGCCTTTTGATGTCCCTACTTAACACTGCAACCATGATCTCTTCCTGTGCACTTTTTTCTTGCCTTAGTTTTCTCTCTAACCCTTGTTGTCTAAAAGTAATAAGATGTAGTCACTTGATTTCATTGGCTGTCTCCCCCAAGAATATCAGCTTTACATAAGAGTAAGTTTTTTGGGGGATAGGTATGGAGCAGTGAACCCTAGGCCTCTGCACTGCAATACATTCTTATTCCCCTTTTTTATTTTCTGAGTCAGGGTCTCACTAAATCTCTTAAGTTGCCCAGGCTGTTCTGAAAATTGTGATCCTCCTGTCTCAGCCTCCCAGAGTGCTGGGACTATACATGTGCACAACCATATATGGGTTGATTTTTTTTTTTTTTTTGGTACTGGGGTTGGAACTTGGGACCTTGCATTTGCAAGGCAGGTGTGGCACCACCGAGGGAAATCCCTAGCCCACAGGTTAAATGTTTAATGAGGGCTACGTGGCCTTCACAATCTCTCATTGTAAAAGTCTTCGGGTAAAGAAGAGTTAGCTTCCTGAACTCAGTTTCAAGACTTAGTACAACTGTTAACGCATTAACACACATCCTATGAAGTTGATGTGTTTTGATTTAAACATTGTTTTTACTGCTGGGGATAGTAGGCAAATGACCTCACATGTCTCTGGGTCTCAGTTTTCCAGTCCGTTGAATGAGCACAAGAAGAGTCTAGTCTGTACCATGTGGGATTGTGAATTGGAATGAAGTGATCTGTGAAGAGTGTTTAATGCAGTGACTGGGCACACAGTAAGTGATCAGTAGCTGTTAGCTGTTTGCTTAGATTCCAAATACATCAGTGCTTGGGTTGGCATGACAACCTGGGAATCTGTAGATGGCTTGGGGGTGGTGCATACCTGTAATCCCAGCACTTGGAAGGCTGAGGCAAGAGAATTGCCATGAATATGAAGCTAGCCTGGGCCACATAGTGAGTTCAAGCTCAGCCTAAATTACAAAGCCAGATGCTGTGACAAAAAAAAAAAAAAAAACAGGGCGTGGTGGCACACACCTGTAATCCCAGTACATGGGAGGCTGAGGCAGGAGGATCATTGTGAGTTGGAGACCAGCCTGGGCTACATAGTGAGTTCTAGGTCAGTCTCAACTACATAGTGAGACCCTGTCTCAAAAAACCAAAAAAAAAAAAAAAAAAGGGCTGGGGATTTAGCTCAGTGGTTCTGCCACCTACCTCCCAAACACAAGGTCCCAAGTTCGATCCCTGTTACCAAAAACAAAACAAAAAAACACCACAGAACCTTGGTTCCAAGTGCATAGTCCTAGACTTAGAGCTCAGATCAGAGGATACTTGAGTCCTTGGAGGAACCACAGAAAAAGGACATTCACTTAAGCTCACTGAGCTCTACATTCTGTTTCAAGTTTTTTAATATATAAATTATATTATTGGTTGATTCTTCTCAACTGCCCTCTCAAGTGGCTTCTATTATTGTTTCCATTTTGCAGATGAGACTGAAGCTAAGGGGTCAAGTGACTTGCCTAGGGTGTGAGTTCCAGGACTGTCTGTCCAGGCCCTGCAGAGCCTCCCTGCCCAGGACCCTAACTCCCAGTCCCTCTGGGCTCCACTCACCGTGAGCAGATGAAGCAGGTCCTCGCTGGCGCTGCAGGGGGGCTGCTGTTTCTGGAGAGCAGCCAGCTCTTGCAGTCGCAGGTAGAGGCTGTTCAGCTTGGACAACTGCAGGCGGCCATCAGGCAACCTGTCAGGTTGTGCCTCCTGCAGGGATACCAGGTCCTTGAGGTGCACACCTAACACAGGCAACCGGAAGCCTGTGCAGCCAGCCCAGGTGTGGCGGTAGCAGGCGTAGTTGTTGTGGGAGGCAAGGAGCTTGGTGAGTTCCAGCAGGGCCTGTGTGGGAGGGGTGTGTTATGGGGAAAGCAGTTCTGTTTCTCTAGCCTCTTGGAGGGAAGGATCCTAGCAGCTTCCTCTGCGGGCTCAATGAGATCTTTCCATGCACATCTCCAGCCCATTTTCCTACCATCTCCTGACTTCAGTTACACACCAGGCTTCTTTCATTTTCTAGACACTTCCCACAACATCTAACCTCCCTCGGTGGCCCAAATGTTGGCATCTTTAGCTGGATGACAGCTGGCCACCTGGATGGCCAGGTGTCAGCATCTCTCTCATCCGTCTGCCTCCCAACCCCACTCAGGATTAGACCCATGAGGACAGAGAGGAGACAGTGCCATGTCAGGTGATAGGGAGGAGGAATCCTGCCTGGGGTTTGCAGGATTCAGAGGAGCCACGTCCTCAGGTGGTTCCAGAGCCTGGCAGGGATTGATGGGGGCTGGGACTTCAGTGTGGAGTTCAGGTCAACTGAGTACTTCATGACTTTGGAGAGTGAGGTGGGGGTTCACCTTGGTGCTGTCAGGGCTCAGGTGGGCGTAGGACTCCTTGAGTCTGGAGATGGCACTGTGACACAGGCCCCCAGTGACTGCCATCAGCGTGTTGAAATTCTGCAGCTGGTGGAGGCTCTAGGAAGGAAGGCGATGCCAGAGATGACAGGTGTCACCAAGGGCAGGTAAGGTGGAATTCAATGGCAGCAGCTGAGTCTTTCTCAGGTGTGGGTAGATGAGGGGCCATTGAAGACATGGGGCAAGACAGATGAGAGGTGCGTGTACCGGGCAGGAGGAGCAGTGTGAGGTTAGACAGGCAGCGTGGGGAGCTGGGTCGATATGGGGAACCAGGTGTGTTTGTCAGGTGTGGGAGGATTAGGGCGGATGTAGGGCGTTGGCCTTCTAGGGTCAGGCTGCTTCCCACAGCTGAGGAAAGTCGAGGCATGAGATGTGGGCGGAAGCTGGAAGCAGGCACAGGTGAATGGGTGAGTGACGTGGAGGGGTCAGGAGGACGCGAGACTGGCGCGGACGCGAGACCGGCTGGGGGAGGGGATTCCCTCAACCTTCCCTTTCCAAGTTTGAAGAGCGGAAATCGCCGTGGAGAGAGAGAAAGTGGGAGATGCTCAGACCATGGGGACCCCTAGCCGACGTCAGAACCCTCTGGTCCAGTGAGCGAAGGGCCCAGCAAGAGGAAGCAAAGTGACGAAGAGGACAGAGGAAGGGAGTGGCGCGCCGGGAAATATGCGAGGGGCGTGGCCCGGCCGCGAGGGCTTCCCTTTTCCCAGGAGGGAGGGGCGCGGAGAGGGGCGGGGCCGGGCCGGCCCGGGCTTTCGCGGGAGAAAGGCGGGCAGCGCCCCCACCGTGCCCAGGCGCCAATGGACCTCGGGATACAGCTTGGGAGACGACGTCAGGAGGGACTTAGTCAACTGCCTCATCTAGGGTCAAGGGCTGGGGAAGGGCGAGGCGGGCGAGTAGAACAAACGTCAGAGCAGGGGACAGTGGCCTCGGGGGAGCCTGGCGGTGAGGTTGCTAAAGCGAGCGGAAAGGCGGGGCGGCCTCACCTGCGCCACGTGAATGAACTTGTCCAGCACCTGCGCACGATGTGCAGGCCCGGGACGGCTCAGCACCATGACCTGCACCCAGCGGGACACGCTGTTGGTGAGACACACGGACGCCTCCAGGGCCGGGCAGCCCCGCACTGAGCCCTGTAAGACGTAGCCCCGCAGGTCCTGGGGCTGGGAGCAAGGTGGGCGTCAGCTGGGCCGTGACCCTCACACGCCAAGCCCCTAATTTCCCTAGCATTCAGGACCTCCTATGTCCTAGCCTGAGTGACCTTTGTCATGTCTCCCCTGAAGCTTCCAGCATGGTTCCCTCCCATCTAAGGAGAAATGTTTAAATAAAGTCAGCTACGCTTCCGAGCACTTTATCATATTAACTAATTTAATCCTCAAAACTCTACACGGCGACTAATACTGTGATTGTCATGTTAGAGATGAGGCAGTTGGGGCACAGAGAGGGTAAGTAATTTTCCCAGAGTCACACAGGCGTGAGTCAGGGCAGGAACCCAGTCTGTATGCTCTTAACTGCCTACCTGGCCAGTACACAGCCGGCAAAGGGAAGAACTTGAAACTAACTTCCGCTTGTTCTGCTCAACAGTATGCAATTCCATACCCACACCCCTGGTACCATCTCCACGTGTATTTGCACACACAGAATCAGGAAATTGTCACATTAGGGAACCAGATCCACACCTTCCCTTGGAACAGTAACATCCAAAGGGCGTTAGGAGACCCACACCTACACTGAGGCAGGTAACACTGACATTGGGTAGCTGAAGAATGGCCATTTCAAATGATTCTGTCAGGCCACACTGACTCTACATCGGCCCTGTTCTTGTTCCTTTTACAGAAAAGGAAACAGCAAACTGAAAGGCTTCTTGAGGAAATTAATAACTGATAAAATATTTTGAGCACTTACTACATGCCAGATGCTGCAACAAGCATTTATAAATGAGATTCTTAATCCTTCGGCCAGCCAGTGAAGCCTGACTTTTACAAATGAGGCCAGTGAGGTTGGGAAACTAGTTCTGAGACACCCAGGTAAGAAGGAACTGATGGAACTCCGCGCTCAGCTAGGTTTACTCATTTCCCCAGGTGTGACAGTTGCGGAGTTTAAGATCCCAGCTTTGAGTTTAGGCTGTAGCTGAGTGGTAAAGCGCAGGTTGGATCTTTAGCAACCGCTTCCCGCAGAAGATGCTGGCTGGATGCCCGTGTGGGGATCTCCCCACCCATCTCAGTCCATGTCCTGCTCAGGAAGGGGAGTCCTCACCGTGATAGCTTGAAAGGCCCGGAACTCCAGGTAAGTGAGGTGCTGAGCCAGCTCATCCGTCTTTAGGTGGTCAAAGAGCAAGGACACCTTGCACTTTTTGCCTAGGTTTGGGCTGCTCGTGGGAGGTGGGGGGCCAGGGCCACCAGGGCTCAGGCTGGGGGCCAAGAGGACAAAGAAGGTGCAGAGGTGAGGGTCTAGGGGTGTGGTGGGAGAGGAAAGGCTGGGGTAGGGAGCATGGGGCTGTCTCACAGGTTGGAGGTGTCTCCTAGGCTCTTCTGGGCTGAGTTGCCCTTCCGGGTCACGGTGGCCCAGAAACGCGCTATAACTTCTTCTAGCTGGGGGTCCTGGTGCACTGCCTCTGGGTGTCGGGTCAGCCAGTACCTGAGAGTGATTTTGAGATGAGTGGGTTGAGGCTGGGGTTGGGGAAGGTCTTTTCAAGGGGTCTTTTGGGCTGAGGAATCTCTAGATGCTGAGTTAGGGGTCTCTACATGTGTGCTTGGGTATCTGGAGGGGCAGTGGGTTGGGGAAATCTCGGGTAGGTCTGGGGGGTCTCAACACAGGCTGGGAGACATGGGGAGAGCTCTTAGAAATGGGGCTATTGGGAAGCGTGACAGTTGGTGAGATTTGGGGAGAATATTATGAGAGGGTCATAGGAGCTAGGCTGGGATATGTAGGAGGTGGAGGCTTGGGAGATCAGAGCTGGAGGACTTAGGGGATCTGGTGGGAGTTCTAAGGAGCAGAACTGGGAGGATCTTAGGTACTAAGCCAGGGGGAACTTGGAGGGAATTTTAGGGAATGCAGCTGGGGATCTCAGAGGTGTTTTTTGGGGGACAGCAGAATGGCAGTCTTGGTTCATGAGGGTGGGGTCTTGGCCCGGCCCTACCTGACCAGGTGACATATTTGCAGCTGCCTCAGCTCCTGTCTGTCCTCTGCAGCCTTTTGGTACTTGCGTTCTGGTCAAGGCTCTGTTGTTCAGCATCCAGACCTACCTGCTCCCCTGTCCCATCTCCCACGCTCTCAGGGTTCTGCCCTCCTCCCTCCATCCACAACTCCTGGCCCTGGGAGGATATGAGGTCAGCAGACGGGCAGCGAGGTCAGCAGAAGGCATCACCCAGCTGTGCATGGCCAGCACCATGTTGAGAACGTGGTCGCCGCGGCGCAGGCTGCCGGCTGAGTCTGGGGCGGCAGAAGGGGGTACTGTCAGAATGGCCCCTGGGCAACAGTGTCTGGTTCAAGTGGCAGCTCTATTGATGCCCTGCATGAACTCAGGAAAACAGCCTAATCTTGTACCTCAGTTTCCTTGTCTGTACCCTGCATGTGCCAACACCATGCCTGGCAAGTCTTGTTGAAGATGGAAATAGCGTCAGTTCTCATCTCAGGAGAAAAATAAATGCAGGTGTTTCTCAACGTAGCAATGGAGCTTTGGTTCAAGCCTCCCTTCAACCCAGGGCCCTTGCACTGAGCTATTTATCCAGCCTTTTTTAATCTTTAATTTTGAGACAGGGTCTCCCTAAGTCACTGAATTGCCTAGAATGAGCTTGAACTTGTGATCCTCCTGCCTCTGCCTCTCAGAATGCAGGGATGACAGGTGTGCCCACCACCAGGCCCAACTCACACACCCATTTTATACCCCCAAACTCAGGCAGAGTGGTGGGTATTTGTTGGGATGTTAGCTGTGGGGAGCTAGCTGGGGTGGTGGGGACACTCACCGAAGGACTGGATGCATTTCTCCAACAGCTCGTCTTCACTGCAGCTGCCCTCAGCCAGCATGCTCAGATTCATGGAAGCCATGGCCTTGCTGATTTCCTGGGGGCTGGGGCATGTCTTGTGGCGCCGGGCC